GTTTATATAGTTTTATACTTACTATGATCATGCCATCTTGATGAAATGCACAAAGAAAAAAATTTGAAAAAAATTTGCATGTTTGACAGTGTTACAGTTATGTTCACTGCACGTTTTGTGAATTTTGAAACAAATTATTTTGTCTTTGATCAAAGTTTAAATTTGTGCAAGAGTGTTGTATATGATCATTTTAATGTTTGAAAGGCTATATCTTCCATAAAAGAAAGATAAGGATGAGTTCTAAAATTGTGGAGTTGATGTAATTGTTGCCTATGTTGCTAGTGTTTGAAAATATGAAATGGTGCTACTTGATAGTTGATGCTTTGATTTTGAGTATGTTAAGAATGATTTTAATGTTTTATGAGTTTCCAATGAAGTCCTTGATGGTGTTAAGGTTTTGTGTAATTCGAGGATGAATTATATTATATGTGGGGGAGAATGTAACGCCCTAAAATGAACTACAGTGAACTAGAGCTTCGTGATTGTTTCTTGAGTTAATATTAAGTTTAAATGAGTAAATTAGTGTTCTTAGTCACTGTGTGAATTTTGGTTAAGTTCGGAGGTCAAACGTCCAAGAACGTCCATGACGTTCGGAAGGTGTGCCTTATAATGTGCTTGTGTGTCTTCATGTTTGAGTGAATTTTACGTGTTCGTTTTAATCAAAATTGATATGGGATGTTCCTAAGATCTAGATGACTTAATTTATGGGTTTAACGTTTGGGTACGACCCCACCTGGGACCCATAGGGGACCCTAGAAAAGGGCCCAAGATTTATGTCCAAAACTTCCTTGTAGTGTCCACAAACGGGACCAGTCAACATCCAGTACACCAATTAACTACTCGTCTACTTGGTCCGTCGATTAGAATTCCAGTTCTGCAGAGTTTGAGGGTTGCAGACCCAACCAACTAACCCTCACCAACAGGGCATTGGTTGATAAACAGTCCGTCGTTTGTGAGTCGTCAATGGGCATGTGAAAAGCTATAATTTTCTGTCATGTCTTGGGGTGTTTGGTAAATTCACGCAAGTATTTTATGACCCTAGGAAGTTTTTTAGAGTTTATTATGTATATTAAAGTATTTCAAACCCTAAGACCTAATTTTAGATCTCCTTTCCTAAAACCCAAAACCCCTGTTCCTTAGAACTCTCTCTCAAGTCTCTTTGGAACCTAGAATTCAAGAAAAGATACGAGGGCTGTTGATGGCGATGTTATTCATAAAAATCATTGGGGGTTCTCTTATCTAAGGTATGGTATCCATCCTTGAACTCTTTTCCATTTAAGGAGTCCCTTCTAATAGATTGTCAAAAAAGGTTTTCAACCCTAGTTTCTTCTATCTTCAACTCTAAATATGGGTCTTGCATGAAAACGTTTTAAATGACTTAATAATGATGTTTCTAATGTTAGTTGATGATTTTGAGGTCAAAACTTCAATTAAAACATGTTAAAGCTTTTCATCAAATGTTGTCTTAAGAAATGGGTTAAGTGAGCTTAGTTTTGTAGTCTTTGAGGTTTGCTTTACTTATGTTGTTATTGATGTTTACTACTGCACTAAGGGATAATTTATGACGAATTATTGAGTAAAATTCTATAGGTGATGGAAGCTAGGATTAAAGGGTAAGTTGGTTTTGTTGTTTAAGCTTTAACTATGAAATGCTCTTGAGTGGTATGGTCCACCTTCTTGGTGGCAGTGTTTACATAATGAAATTGATTATACTTAGTATGTATTATGAGTGTGGCTTTGATGGACTAATATGTGAAATTAAGTGATAATGAAGATTGTTCTTGCGTTGTGTATTATGAATCTTAAATTGCATGTTTGACTTAGATTATGCCTAAATGAAGTATATGATTATGTGAAGCATGTAAGGTGTGTGATTTGATGAATGAAGGCCTAAAGCATGTATAGAATTTAATATAAATGAAATGATGTTTATATGCAAGATATGCTCACAAGTACACACACACTTGAATGACTGTATGAAGCTAAGTTGAGTAAATAGAGAATTTTGGAGGTGGACACTTTTCATGAGTTGAGATGAAGTGTTTAGTAGCAACCTCACTACATCCTAAGAGATTTCTAAGATAGAATGAGGATGAATGCCCTTCGTGAATTGAGATTTGGGTTCACTAGTTATCCTTAACCTATGGTATATAATGTTTAGAATCTGTTGGGGTTATGTATAACACCTAGAGGATATGAAGAAGAGGTGGTTACACTTCGTGAGTTGAGATGTTGTATTCCAATATACCTCTTGAGATGAGTACTCCTCGTTATTAGTGAATGAGTTACTTAGTAGCAATCTCCTTATGCCTTAACTATGCGCCCGCATATGTGTCGCTATTTGGCAAGCCATGTAAAAGCTAAGAGAATGACCTTACTCTAGAAAAGTGAGGATCCCTCATCCGATAAGGGTTAATGTCGGGATTCCAAATCTAGCTCTCATGGTCTATATAAGTTAAGCTAACTCTCACAAATGTAATGAAAACGCTAAGTCTTCTAAAAGAGTGTACTACTCAGGGTAGGTAGTGGAATGGGACACTATTTATCCATTGCACTAGGTAGGCATTCTGAAAGGGGAGTCTTAGTGAGCCTTATGTGAACTGAATAAACTAAGTCTTCTAAAAGAACGTACTACTTAGGGTAGGTAGTGGAATGGGACACTATCGACAAGTATACCTTCCGAAAGGGGGGTTTGTGTGCCAAGCCTCCTAAAAAAGTTTCCTAGTTAGGGTAGGTGGTGGTATTGGGCGCCATCTACTCTTTCCACTAAGTAGGAATTCTGAAAGGGAAGTCTTGGTGATTTGTTTGAGTGTTCTTCTAATTTCTTGTCATTCAGTGGGGGCTTTTTCTCCCGAGGTGAGTAAGCCGAAACGGGGTAGTCTTGAGGATCGCTTTGCTGTGTATTGAAGGAGGCATACTAATTTCATTTCTTACCTTGGTGAGTCTTAGGATAATCTTTAGTTAGGGAAACTCCGACGGAAATTAGTTCACTTCCTCTTTGCTTGTCCTTGGAAGTTAACTCCTTAGAATAGGACTAGTTCACTGTAAATGCTCAACTTGAATTCACTGTAATATTTTGGAAGTTTATTGTAAAGTGTGTCTTTTGGTTAAAATTATGAAAATTCTTGTCTAAGTGTTAAATGATGATTCTTATGTAGTTTTACTTCTAAATTCATGAATGTTTTACTTAATTGGCATGAAAATGTATTTTTACTGAAATGTCCCTTTTTGCATGTTTTTGCATGTCATACATAGTACATTATTTGTACTAACCCCATACTTTTCTATACTCTATAACTTTAGGTTGGAAGCTCTTTGGAAGAATTGAAGGTGAAGCTTGTGAAATCTACTCTCTCAAGATTTGATATGCCCTCATATATTCGAGGATAGTCTATGTTTTTTTTTCTTCATTTTGATATTAATATTTATTATGTATTTTTCTTTCAATGTAAAGGGTGGTGTCCCTAAGATATTATATCATGTCTTTAACTTGGCTTGTGACGATGAGTTTCTCTAAATATTTATGAAAGAATAGATTTTTATTAAATGTTTTGAACAGTTTTAATTCTGCATTACTTTTCATGTCTTATGTAATAAACGATAATTAAGGGCTTGTACAAGACCCCAAAGGGTCAAGTACACCCGGTCTTGACCCAAGGGTTCTCCCTAACTTCTAAAGGGTACTTTTGGGTCGTGACACTCTCACACGATCAATCACCTGTGACGTCGAGGAACGTGAGGTGAAGATATGAATTTCACTACTATATTATGACTTATTTTGTGAGCCAGACAAATGTTTCTCAAAGAAAATGAGTTTAAAGATTATTGGAAAACAGAAACAAGAGTTAAACATCTTGAGTTGTTTATACCGAGGATGGTTTGACGCATACACCAATATAAGGTGAAAACATCGTAGCACGTGTTTAATACCATGTGTGTCTAGCGATCAACGGATCAATGAAAGAATATTTCCAGTTTCTTCATTGTGTGAGACCCAGAAAATTTAAAATGACTTTTCAATGAAATACCCTTCGACCTTTTGCAATTTCTTGAAATTTCAATCGATGTTGGTACTTCAGCATGTTACAAATAGTCATGAATGATTTGGCAATGCAGAGCATGTCTAGGAAAGCAATTGAATAGGAGAAGATAGATTCAAGTAGAAAGGAAAGACATTAAATGAATAATAAATGTATATAGATAAGTCGGGTATTGCACTAACTATATTGACATTGAGTGTAATTGTGTGTATAAAGTTAAACATGAAATCGAGTTAACCTCTTTCAGAGGATGAGAGATCAGATAAGTAACTACTAAAGTAGTGAATAAAGTCTGGGTTATTGTGAGTAATAATGTTCTTTTGTAAGTAGTGAATTCCTTCCACATGTGATTGAATTCCTATGTAGACTTTGTAAAACCTTACTTGTAAGATCTTGATGCTCACCGATTGCACGAACTATTTATCATATGCATTGAGTGTCTAGTTGATGTTGTGTTGGTTTGAGTCTTGTCCACCATGTGCGAAGTGGGAGATATAAGTTTTGGGTCATGGATCGACCCGACCCAATATTTTATCTGTAAAATTGAGATAAGTTTTAGTTTAAAATATTGGGTGGGAACAGTTACTAAGTAATTGTTCCAACGTACCCAATCCAATATTTAAATACAGAAAACTTACGCTCAGTAAAAGGTGTGGAAAAAACAGAAGAGAAGGGAAAAACTCTAAACACAACATATTTCTAAGAAAGAGACACTAACCGAAAGGATATATAGTTTGTGAATCAATAACCCTGTTTCCTTGAGATTCAAGTTTGACTTGGAGAAATATTTCAAAAAAAAGGATTTAGTCAATTTTCCGCTGCAAAACTATAGGGTACACAGTCGATTTTTTTAAAAAAATCCTACAATTATAGCATGGAAGAATCACATACGAGAAAATAGTTTACTTGAGCAAAACTATCAATAAAACTAGTATATTTAAATATATGAATTATTAATTATTGTAAGTTAGTATTTTTTAAGGTAGCTTCCAAATTTTATTATAGAAAAAATTGCAAGATGAGATTGTCGGTAACATTTTATTGTTTGCTAAATCTGTTTGTCATCAGTTTTGTGTGTGAAATTTATTTCTTGTAGTTTTGATTTTAAATAATGAATGGGTTCGTTGGATGGGTATAGAAGTAAAAGTTTTGAGAGGAAAATGGTGGCTGGTTACTTGGTTCTGTATATGGAGTGATGAGCATTAATGTTGTAATTATAAGTGAAGATTTGGTTGTAGTACGGACGGGAGTGTGTATATATAATCCGATTAAATGTAACGCATTGACAAATTTAATTGAGTAAAAGGGTGGATGTACATGGTTGTGTGTTTAAAGGATTTCTGGTTTGAGAGATGGTGTAATAAAGAGTGAATTGTTTTTATCCTAATTTACAGATTTGCTCCATGTGTTAATATATATATATATATATATATGATGATGACGATGATGATGAAATGAAATAGTATGAACAGAAAGTTAGGAAAATGCAAAAGGGAGAGGGCCCATCTGCATCTTCCTGCACAAGGGCAAGTATTAAGAGAAAGTTCCATCAAGTTGGGGAGGTTAGATATTGTACTAGTTATCTTGTCAGTCACCTTTCTTTGCACATTTACTCTCTATGTCTAATTACTTATTACCTCTTGCAGGACAAGGGCCGCACCGCACGTTCATCCAAGTTCAATAGTAACTCTGATTTCGACATATATCTTATATAATTTATTTATTCAATTTTGACAGTTTTATACTTATGTTTATCTATCAGGTAAACCAACAAAGTTGCCAGAAAAACGTATACTACAACTAATTCTCGACGTTCTGCAAAGGTTAGTTAGCAATATTCATCCTCAAATTATTATACATACATTATAAGGAATATCTTACTACTTTAGATTGTTTTTTATCATGTTAGGAGGGACACCTATGAAATATTTGCAGAACCAGTTGATCCCACTGAGGTTGGTTTTATTCATCATTGATTGGGTTTGGTTTTTAAAGGCCAACCATGTCTTGTTACTGACTTACATCATGTGTTTCTTTTAAGGTGGAAGATTACTACAAAATCATTAAAGAGCCTATGGATTTTGGTACAATGAGGGCTAAGCTTCATGAAGGAATGTATCAGAACCTCCAACAGTTTGAGGTAAATTGGATCATGCATCTTTTTCGCAAGTTGAGATAATCGTTTGATTGTAGCACGCAGCATTTGAGAATGTGCTCTCATCAACTCAACTTTAATTTGTCTGGTCTTAGTAATCTTGAGAATCATCTTTTGAAACTGCAGCGTGATGCATTTCTGATTCCCAAAAATGCAATGCATTTCAACTCCTCTGGTACAGTTTACTTCAGACAGGTATTTCTTTTTACACAATTTGATTGTTACAGATATCACGAGAAGTAACAAATTCGAATGTTTTTTTACAGGCTCGTGCTATATATGATCTAGCTAAGAAAGCATTTCACGTCCTAAAAACTAATCCCAAAAACATTGAAGTAGAATTTCCAGTGAACAGACGTAGATCGATGAGAAGATTGCAAAATGAGGCCAGAGATACAGGATATGTCATACCAGATGGTGCCCTTGATGTTTCCTCCAAGAATATTGGACTTGGGCCTAGTGTTCCATCAACATATAGAAGAAGCAAAGAAAGGCCTTCCCTATCCACCAAAGATGCTGCTCCGACTGACGGTGCATTCTTATTAGGTAAGTAAGACAGTGAGATTTACACATGTGTTTCTTTGATTATCAGTTATAATTTTGACAAATACTCTAGTAATCAAGTAGTATAATTCTTACTCTATTTAAACAGGTAATAGACATGCTCAAAGTTTTTCTTCTCTTGGTGCTGGTCGTTGTTCTGCATATGAATTTTTCAGGCCTTCGCCTTACCATGACACTAGCTCATTTCTATGTAACCAGAATCCTGAGTCACTAATTCTTGTAAGTTTTTCCTCTCCAGCCGAATCACATAATTCAATCAGTTTAGTTGGAGGATATTTTTCTGTCATGTTTTTATACTAGGCTACAACATACATGAAAAAAATGTAAGTGCATATTTACAATATATAAAAATATTTGATTTTGATATTGTAGAACAGGAATGGTAGTTACAGAGAGAGCTTGATGTCATTTGCCAGAGACTTAGGACCAACAGCACAAACGGTTGCCAACGCGAAAATGCAAGGGAGCTATCCATTTCTTCTCTCTCACACAACTAAAGGTCCTCCAACGTGCTTAGGATTCGCTGCCTTTGCACATGTACAAAATCAATCTAATACTGGAGTTTTAACCTCATATAAGAATCTATCTAGTCCTGTTCGAGGTTTTTGCTCCGTTCTCAAAAGCACCAGTGATAGGATCGATGTGTGTAATGTTGCAAAGGGGGATGAGACTTGTAAAATAGCTGGCATGCGCAGTCTGAAAGAGCCCCTTCCTTGCACAGAATATTCAGAGAAGAAACATACGTCAATTTTGTGCTACAAAAGGAATGTTCATAAAGTAACAGAAGGAGCCAAGAAAACTCTAAATGGAAGTGAGAGAAAAGAGAATTACTTGGGAACTCATATCATTACTATTGGGACATCTGGGGATACGAAGAAACCCGGCAGAAGAACTGCTAAGGTGGAAGAAAATAAAGTTCTGCCAGTTGTACTAGCTCTAGAGCAATCTCATTCAAGTCTATCTGAGGTGAAGTGGAGAAACAAGAAGAGTTCCAATTTCACATCACGTAAGACACGATCACAAAGCAAGATTGCAGAACCCAATGTCACTGGGACAATTTCAGGTCAAACTAAAAATAAAAGCTTTAGATCAAAGCACGAAAACAAAGCAGCTATTTGTGCTCAAAACAACAATTTTGGCAGCAGTATCAACCCAACTTTTCTTGAGCCAATGAGCCAGGCATCAGAGTCGAAATTGAGCAAGACTATTCCTGTGATGCCATTTCCAGGAATAATGAGCTCCAGGTTCACTTTTGATATGCCGTTCTTGAAAGCTCAGCTAAATCAAATGAATCCAGTAGGGAAAAATGACATGCCTCAAGTATCAAGACATAACATGGAGTGGTCATTGTATGGTCAGGGAAGTAATAATAGGATGGGCAGGGAAGTAAATCTATCCGTGTCGTCTCTGCAAGACAAACCAAACAGTACTCTGCAGACCATGCCGACTTTCAATTATAATTATCAATCATCACATCTTTCCATAGACACTGATTTGGCCCTTCAGCTCTGAGTTAGTTTGAACAAATGCTGTTAAATTATCCCAAGTAAATTGCTTGTTGGATATTGTTCTGTCATGTAAAGCGTACAGTGCATTGAATTAAAAATATCCTCTGAGAAAGTTGAATATGTTAATCCTTGTACAACTTGAAATCAATGCATAGGATATAAGCAAACCAAGCCTCCTTCCTCTCCTGTTTATTTTTGTTTTCGTTGGCCTTAAATGATCAAGGTGAAGGATTAAAACACAAAGTATCATATATCACATGATTTGATTGTTCATGCAGTGAAGTTAACATGAGAAAATTAAAGATGGTATCGGCTAGGCCCATCAAATAAATAAGAGAAGGGATATCAAGATTACACATTCTAATGAGAGTGGTAGAAAAATTGATGTTTTTATGCACTTGAACGTAATTTAGAATAGGAAGTAGATTCCAACAACCCTTTTGATTGTATAGTAATGAGAACATATTTATAAGTAAATCAGAAAAATAGTAGAAAACCCATTTGAGTATAAACATGAAATAGAGAGTTGGAATAAAAAGTGTGGAATGAACGTAACATACATAAGTATATACCTTCTCTTTAACTAAAAAACGAATAATTTTTGAAAAATCAATTAATCTTATTATTTTAGAGAAATTAATTTTCCAAATTTAGAGAGTCGCCGCTAAGTTTTTTAATAAAAATCAAGAAAAACTTAAAGTTTTCAAAAAGATTTAAACAGATAAAAATCAAATTTTAAAAAAATGGGTTCGAAGTTCAATGTACATTCCGAAAGTGTTAGGCCCTCGGAATGCCCGCTAACTTCGGTTGACCGGCAATTTGACAAAAATAACTTTCAAAAAACTTTTCAAATTTTAAACAAAAGTAAAAGAAAATTTATTTTTTATTTATTTACTTACTTATCATTATTATATTATTATTATTTTTAGATAATTATTTTAATAAACTAAAGGGGGATTTTCTAAGGAAAATAATTCTAATGTTGTCAAGACTAATAATGAAATTAAAGTCAACTATTAAATAATTATTTGATTTTAAATTTAAAACCAGATATGACTTATTTTACGAGATAATTAAATCAAACCGAAAATCATATATAACATGTTAGTCAATCAACAAATAAATTGGAAAATATTTAATTTAGGCCTTTTATCCAAATTCCAATTTGATGGGCTTCTGGCCCAAACCTGTCCTAAAGTCTAGGTAACGGGCTGCATTATTGGGCCTCATTTTATGCTTTATTTCAACGTATATATTCCATGTATACCACTATATACGGGCAATATTTCAGCCCTCTTCCCTGTATATTTGACCGTACAACAAATGCATAAAATCTATTTTGGCCAGTGCAACCTGTGTTGCCATTTTCTATCACGTATTTGTTACGCTGGATAGTATATCAGTGTATAGAGGACGTATTTCATCTTGTTTTCAGCCTTCAAAATCAATAGTGCAACTCATCTTTCAATTCTTTCAATCCAAGAAAAGAAGGGCCGACATGAAATGCAACTTAATGATATGCGAGGGTTGGGGAGTCCGTGAAGACCCGATCCAAGTTCATGCATAAAAAAATGAGGAAAGCTTAGCATGATTCTTACTTAACACAACCAAATCAAACAAACGCCTACTAAATCGAGCAACAAATAGTAAAACACTCCAAGATGAATTCAACATGAGCCTTTCAAATTTTTTAGGAAGTATACATGCCACCCAAGACAAGACAAGACTAGATTTTGCAAAAAGGGAATAAACCATAATCAAAAAACTTAACTGAAAAGGAAGAAATCAATTTGCGTCATATTTTGCGAACATTAAAGTCACACATCTAAATTGGAGAAATTTAAGACATTAAATATAACAAAGGAAAGCAAGAAGTAAGCTAAAGAAAAATAAAAAGGACTTGAAATAGACTCAAATCTTAAGCAGCTGCTCATAAATAAGTCATCGAAAATGAACTAAAAAAATAAATAAATGCTATAGTGTAAATGGATAAGCATCAAACTGAAATCAAACCCAAGCTATAAACATCATTTTCAAAGACAAGTAAAGGTAAATGAGAAATACAAGCAGCAACTAGTAGAGAAACGATCGGACATCAGTCCTCCGGCATCCATACATACACATTCTACTAATTTCGAATCAAAACAAACATAAGAAAATAAGGTACATCTATTGCGATCTAAGATCAATCACAAGGCATTGAGCCAAATCATCCGCTAGATAATGGGCTATAAACTAAAGTATAAATACGATTCAAGAATGAAACAAGGAAGTCTATCTCTCTCGCGGCAGCGAACTGAGCTGACGATATGAAGAACGGTTACTTCACCAAAATCAGAACTTCATCAGATTCTGACAGGCTCCGACAATTCGAATAAGAAAACTAGTAACATTGTGAGCTCTTAATGATACTATGCTTGTGAGATCTTAATGTATTTTTTCCTGTAGATATTTTGGAGATTTTTTTATCTCTTAGGGTGTGTTTGGTATGATGGAAAATATTTTCCATGGAAAATATGAAAATATTTTCCTGGAAAATAAGTAGATTTTTGACTTATTTTTTCATTTTTGGTCGGGGAGTAGAAAATATTTTTCGAAAATGATTTTGTTTTTTATTTATGACTGAAAAATATTTTTGAGAGACATCTTTTTTTTTTACTAGAGTAGAAAGTAATTTATTAAATTGAAAATATTTTTTAAAAACAATTTTTATTTGGGGTGGTGGTGGGGTGGAGGAGGGGATAGGAGTGAAAAAAATAAAAATTTGAACTTCATAATATATTTAAAAAATAAAATTAATTTATTTGGGGGTTGGGGTTGGGTGGGGGGCTGGCCGGGGAGGGGGGGGTGTATGAGTTTAAAAGTAAAAATTTGATGTTGAAAATATTTTTAAAAAGCAAAATAATTTTTTTGGGGAGGGGTTGGGGTTGGGGAGGGGAGCTGGCCGATCGTGGTGGGTGGGGGTCACGATCGGGTAAAAAAATAAAATTTTAAAAATTGAATTTTTTTTTTAAAAAAAAATGTTGTTTTTCCCAAAAAAAACTTATTCTAAATTGGAGGAGAATTTTGGAAAATGTTTTCCTTAATTTTTAAAGGGCAGTCGTTTTACTTAATTTTAAGGAAAATGAGTTGATTTAGAAAATATTTTCTAAAACTTTTGTCCCAACCAAATATGAAAAAATTGGAAAATATTTTCTAGAAAATGTTTTCCTTCATAACAAACACACTCTTAGTCTATTTCTTTTAGAAAATTCTCTTCTATTCTAGATATTAAATTCCTTTCCAAAAAATCATCTCCTCAAAAAAAAAAAAGATCCCCCTATAACAATAAAATAGATGGGTATTTATAACAGGGAAATTCGGAAGGGGGGAAAACATGATTCCCTTCAAAATTTGAAATTTGAATCACTTTTGGAGGATAAGGTTGAGAAGGTTGTATTGTACCATTCTTGTCTCATTCTTCAAAGGAAGAACGATTTGACCCACTAGATTTAGAGTGAATGACGAAAGTGGTGTAAGATCAATAAACATGGATTACAGGTAGATCTCGTACGGAGAGGATAAGGGTGAGGGGGAGAAAATGATGATTTTCAAAGATTTATGAAATATACCTATTATATCTATAAAACTATATGATAATATATTTGTTAATTATAAAATATAAAATCCGACTAGGATTACTTAAAATGACTTTGGAAAAGTATTTGAATTTTATAAAACTAATCATTCTAAATTGTTTGAAAATTAAGAAGATCGTGAATGATTTCCTATCGTGGAGGGTCAAATTTGGTGTCAGCAGCTGTCCCTTATTTTACTTGGATTGATGCAAGAAATTTGAGGAAAATCAAAATTGACCGAGCCAATTTTGACCGACCAAATATTCATCTTTAGGAAAGGATTTGGTACGGAATCAGGAATTATGTTTGAACCCTAGGCATGAGTTTTCTACATGTCTCAAGCTATATGAAATTCAGGCCACCTGTAGATCGATACGTATGATTTGACGCACGATTTTGAAGGAATTTAAAAATCATCTCGACACCAAATTATGAAGGGATCGACATGCTTGGGAATACTATTTAAGAGAGATGTCAGGGTACAACTGAGTTTTCAACATTGAGTTCGCCTACATATCCCTTGGCATAGGGAATCAAGCTGTTTGTATTTTGACTCGATCGGTTGAAAAAGAATTCTATTATGCTAGATAACCTTCGGTTCTGGACAAGTGATAAATTAAGTCGAGTATGAAAACGAGAATTGTAACCTCTTAGCCATGAATGTGGAGCTCTTCACATCCATAAGTAAGAGCTTACACAAACATAATCTTCAAAGCTCTTGGTGCATTGTCTATCTGATTGGAAGGTGCTTCTAGTAATCTAAAGAAAAACCCACACGCCTTATGATATGGGTGTGGTTAGATTCAAGTGGAAGTCGCTCTTTTGCTCGCGTCCTACGAGTTTTACCCACTTCTTTGGACTATGTCGCAGTTAGCTGCTAAGAAAAAGTTTCATGTTGTGGTGCATCCTTGTTGATGTCATCCACACCTGTGGTTTGATTTATGAATTCATCCACTTGGTTTCTCTCGACTGAAACAACTTGTTAGTAGAAAATGTAACTTGAAAAGTGGTAGTATATCTTATGATTCTTTTCTGTTACTCTTGATGTGAAAGATGTCACATAAGTATGTTCAATATATGTCGCTTTCAGACGCAGTATGTCCATTACAATTCGTGCTTGTCATTGCTTATTTTTTGTATGGCAAACTCCAGTGATCTTTGAAACGATCTAGCTAGCTCAACAATTATCCAACTATAACAAGGTGGATGACTCGATAATATTCCAATTGTAACGAGGTGGATGCTAAATAATATTCCAACTTAAGGTGGATGCTCGATAATATTCCATCTGTAACGAGATGGATGCTTGATAATATTCTAACTATAACAAGGTGGATGCTCGATAATATTCCATCCATAGCGAGGTGGATGCTCGATAATATTCCATCTATAAAAGAGGTGGATGCTCGATAATATTCCATCTGTAACGAGGTGGATGCTCGATAATATTCCAATTATAACAAGGTGGATGCTCGATAATATTCAATTTGTAATGAGGTGGATGCTCGGTAATAATCCAACTATAATGAGG